CCAGAGCTCCCTTCTAACCCCCAACATTCTGCGATTCCTCCTCCTCACTGGTGTTAGCAGCCGGGTGTTCGTGCAGTGCCGGACAAGGTGGAGAGGACTGTGGACGCCCATGGCCAGCACCCGGCTACGACCACTCCCGGGATTAATCTCGGACGTGGTCATCGCGATTGTCACGCCCGCCCTCGCCTTCACGCACCCCCCAGGTCCTCCCCGGCCTGCGACAGGACCTGCAGCACCTGCCTCGGGCTGGATGGTGTTGCAGCCTTATTCAAAATTACGAGCCCTGCTTTACGTTTTATTTTTCTTCCCCTAATTTTTCAGCTCAAAACGGCCTCAGGTACTGCTGATGGTTTGAGACCGGACGGGGAATAGGATCCGTCACGTGCACAGAGGGACAGATCCTTCACCTGGAGATGTCACTGCTGTCCTGGAAACCTGCACGGAGGCACTTTTGTCACCATCAGGTCCAAAAGCTTTCGATAACCCTTGGAATCTGCTGTCCAGCCCCTCCCTTAGGGCACCGGGCAGCGCTGGGGCAGCTACAGAGGCTGAGGTGGGGAAAGGGGCAGCAGCACTCAAGATTTTCAGCAGAGAGCGCCAAGTCTTGTTTTTTTCCCTAAAACTCGCAGAAAAGAAGCCCACAGACCAAGCTGGTTAACTTTTTCTTTATCCAACTCGGTTTCACTCCACCGTTTGCTCCGGCTTTGTGCACCAAAATCCATCTAGAAGGTCCCCGACGACCTCCTGCATGCGAGGGAAGGAGGACGGCACCACAACCGCACCCGACCAACTCCACTTCGGGGTGGGTGGAGAGGAGAAAAATGAACTCACCAGCTTTGTCTAACCAGGTGTGTTGTCACATTATATGAAAGCTTAACAAAACCTTTGAAGAAAGCCCCTCCCAGCCCTAGCCTACCGCTCCAGCAGCACAGCGCGTGGCCTATTTGAGACCTGCTCAGCTCAGCACGTGCCCGAGGGCCGGTTGGCTTCGTTGGGCCAGTGGAACTCATGTTCTCTCGCCAGCCCGCGAGTGTCACGCGAGCCGATGCCGCTCAGAAGCACAGAGCACGCCTGGCGTAGGAAATCAAAAAAGCCCTCCCACAGGTCTTGGGTCCCAAGGGCAAGTTTCTACCGAGGGCTGCACGAGTGGGACCTGGTAACTTCAAGCCTCGGAGCTCCAGCAATTAAGCGGCGCGTCACCCCCACCGGCCGTTTGGATGCCGTCGGAGCAAGGAGGTCTCCTGCAAGAAAGACAGCCGAGGGGCCGACAGCTCGGGGTCTTTCCAGAGGGTGCCCAGGAGTTCCCAGATCTCTGCTCGCGTCCTTGTGGGTGCTCCTCGTCTCGTCCCCTCCTATTTTAAGATGATGTGGTAGCTATCATTGGTTTCAGCTGCGAAAGAAGCAAAAGCTTGTGAGCCACACGCAGCAGCGAAGGGATCCGCTGGAGGGAGCGGAGCAAACACGAGACGCCCCCCGAGAAGTAGGAAAAGAAAAGGGAAGACAGAGCCTGAGCAGCCACACACCTTTCATGGTGTCCAGAACGAAACAGGATTCGTCTTGGAAGTTCTGTATCATCTGAAAGAAGCCACAAAAGCCAGCTGAGGCGGTGTTTAAACCCAGCAAAGCGCTTCACAGCCCTACGTGAAGGCTTTCGTGTTCTGTCGTTTAGATTTAGATTTAGAGAGTACTGAAAGGGCTCAGGTGGGAGCTTGGTGCTCTTGGGAGGTGGGAAAGGCACCAGCCACAAGTATTTATTCCATCCTCCGGCTCTCCAGAACTGAAGGCCCGAGCGAAGCAGCAAGCTGAGAAACCATCGAACTCTGGGATTGCAGGTCTGAAAGCAAAGTCCTCCCACAGCAATTCCCCTCCCTGTTCTTACAGCGAAGCCAGAAGAAACCCAAGCGTGAAGGAGGGTGCACGCGCAGCCCCGACGGGCTCAGGAGAGCTTGTTCACGCTTGACAAACCAGCCGGGTGTAAGCGAGGTGTCCCCAGCAGCAGAGCGCGTCCCCGAGCACCAAGATCCACGGGTCTACGGGTTTCAGTGATTAACTCCAACCCTTCGGTAACCAGCAGCGACCGAGCAGGGCCCTTCCCGAAGGGCTGCCCCCGGGATTTGGTCCCCAGGGTTGCGAGAAACCTCCAGAGCAGAGCTCAGAGCACAAACAGACACAACCCAGGGCGAGAAGACGAAAACAAGGAGCGCCTCGAGGCTGGTACCTCATCGCTGATGAGCACGTGTATCCCCGTCGGGCCTTGCTTGTAGATCTGGCTGATCTGCTGGGAAGAGATGCTGAAGAGCTGCGCCAGCTTCTCCGTCAGCTCCACGGCCGTCAGCTCCTCCAGATAAATGGCGTGGTACACTGCCAGGAGAGGAGCTGTCAGCACCAGACACAGCTCCCAGGGCATTTATGAACGTAGAGAAATATCTGAGGGGTGGGGGTCAAGGGGAAGGGGACAATCTCTGCTCAGTGGTGCCCAGCAATAGGACAAGAATAATGGGTTTAAGTTAGAACATGGGAAGTTCCACCTCAACATGAGGAGAAACTTGTTGGCTGTGCGGGTGCCGGAGCCCTGGCCCAGGCTGCCCAGAGAGGGGGTGGAGTCTCCTGCTCTGGAGACTTTCCAACCCGCCTGGATCGTTCCTGTGGGGCTGCCCTGGGTGAACCTGCTCTGGCCGGGGGT